TTCGTTAAGAATATACAATATTTTGTAGTTTTACATTTACAAAATATTTAATGTACCTACCTAATTAAGTATTTCAACTTTAACTAAGGTATTAGTCAAAATGGTGTATATAAAAAACTAATAATACAGTGGTGGTTTATACTAAATTTTCATTATAACATTAAAAAAAAACCAATTTAACTATGAGTCACTTCGAAGGAACTACCAGTTATTTATTATAGACTCTTCCTAGTTAGCAGTAGTATATACTTTATACAATATGTATAGGTATAAAAAATTGTATATGTAATAGACTTAGTTATTCTGGGCGAAAGATCATGGGTTCGAGTCCATCTCAGTCATCTCAGAGAAGAGCTTAAAAAATCCACTTTTTAAGCATTTTTTATTAAGAATATAATTTGAGTTTGTTTTTATATTAGTCACATGTAAACTAACTGACAGACAATGTACAGCCAAAACTGCTGAGCGTAGAAAGTTGAAATTTGGAATGAAAAATTCCTTAGGGAGTGTAAAGGAGCACTAAGAGAGGATTTTTGAAAATTCCACCCCACGGCTAATGTAGGGGATGAAAGTTTGTATAAAACTTCGTTACTACAAGTGCTAGGAATTTAGGTGCTCACTAAGACGGGATTTTACGAAATTCGACCCCTAAAAGTGTAAATTAGGGGATGAATATTTTTATGGAATTTTCTCATTTCTGGACTTAAAACCACGCGGGCGAAGTCGCAAGCAAAACCTAGTACTTTATATTATGACCAAATATGTATAGGTGTAATAAGTTGTATATGTAATAGACTTAGTTATTCACAGAATTAAAAACGCAGTTTGAAATCATTAAAATTATTCTAGCTGGTGTAACATCATTGATAACAATATTTATAAAAAGTATTACTTATAAATATATAACCAAGCGGAAACTCGCTGACCAGTCATTACAAATATTTTTCTTGCCAGTAAAAAGAAGATTCGAGGGTCGTCATCTGTTATTTCGTGTTACTGTAAATGTAATCATACTGCGTCCCTTTTCAACTGGCTCAACAGTTCACTCAGCAGGCAGTCGCCCGTCAGGCGGTTCGTTAACAATATTGGACGCATGCGATGTTCCAGAGTAAGCTCGGGGCTCCGGACGCCCGTCCCTAACGCTATAAAAAATTAAACCCAAACGGTTCCCTCGCCGAACAACCGTTTCGATTTTAAACCTAATCGCTTAGAAAATTAGGGTTATTACTGGATATGTTTATGAACGTTACTTTTTAGAACCCCCGAACACTGTATTCTTTTACAACTCGCTATAACTCTGCATTCAAATCGCACCCTATTGAAGCAATATTTTGTTCGAATTTTATTTTGTACAATATTATATTGTGTTGCCAGCGTTATCGACGTTATCGTTTTCGCTTATCTTCATGTGAATATTTTCGAAGTCCGCATACTGATGATACTCGAATATGATAGATTATTTTATAGAATATACTTTTTATTTTTGCATATTATAACGTTATACATATAGGTTATCGCTATTAATGTTTAATGTGTTAAAAACTAGTCATTCCCATTTTGTGAAAATCTACATTAAAATTGCAAGAAAATATATTAATATTATTATTATTTTTAATTATTCCATGTAAGACTATAGTCTCGATACAAAAACGTAATTAAACAAACTATATACCTATTATGTTATTTATATCGAGCAATCATTCCTCGGTTCCTCTCTCTTACTTTTATTAGGAAGTTAACATTTAACGTACAAATATTTGATTAAAACAAAATAAAGAAAAAAAGGGGAACAGCTCGTGAGGGATTTGAACCCCCGACCACCTCTATTATCAAATAAACGGGTGCTCTAACCGCTGAGCTAACGAGCCGCTATGCGTAAGAATCAAATTTTGATTATCTATTAACATTACGTCAGTTCTGTTTGAAGATTTTTGTCTCTTTCACACAATGAAAATATAGCTAATTCTTATATCTTATTCATCATCATCAGCCTATTTATGACCCCACCGCTGGGGCACAGGTCCAGTGCGGATTGTTTGGTATTAACACATTCGGGTTATGGCGAGAGCAACGGTTTTACATGCCTTCTGAAGCACGGAATAATACATTTTTGGTCACCCATCCTATGACCGATCCTTGAGAAAGTTACTTAACAACCGTATCGCAGACTGAGCGATATCTACTTGTATATCTTATTAGTAGTACATACTTTATTATTAACAACCTAGCTATTGTTTTTCGACTTAGCCCGCGTAAAGCCTATGTCACTACATATCGATTTTTCCTGTAAAGAAAAGATAATAAACATGAGAAGAAATCGAAAAATAATCGAATCGAAAATCGAATTTTTAAGGGTGATGAACTGAAGACGTTATAAGTTTTTTTACTATAGAGACCATTTTATAATTTTTTCTTTTGACTGATAGTCACTGATATTTGACTGATAGTCAAAAGAAAAAATTATAAAATGGTCTCTATAGTAAAAAAACTTATAACGTCTTCAGTTCATCACCCTTAAAAATTCGATTTTCGATTCGATTATTTTTCGATTTCTTCTCATGTTTATTATCATTTCTAAACCTCTTATAAAAGCGATGTACCTTATTTTGCGTGCTATCAAATATTAGCCTAATTAACACTTTCGAAAATCGATAATTTTCTAAGATTTGCCGCTGTTACTTTAGCCGGTAATATTTCCCGCTCTGTGCAATTTTCCGGCTTTCCTGAAAGAATTTGATTTATTAGAAAAATAATTGGTGTTAGGTAATTAAGACTAAAAATAGTTGTAATGCTATCAAAGGGAGTTTTCAATTCGGTAAATCCTACTAATTAATATTATAAATGTGAAAGTTTCTTTGTTTGGATGTTTGTCGGTCAATCACGCCGAAACTACTGAACGGATTTTGATGAAATTTGGTATACAGATAGGGTATTAGCTGACTTAGATAATAGGATATTCCCTAGGGTCCACGCGGGCGAAGCCTTCACCAGCGGCTTCGCTAGCTAGTAACTAGTAATATAAGAGAAATAAACTAACTTATTTATATTTTAGTAGTTACTATCCCTTTGTTTGTATCAGACTATGATATAACAACAGAACATAGAAAAGAGGTATGGGTGTAACGTTAAAGCAATAGTTTTTTTTTATAAAGTTTTAACACCATTATGTTGCATTTAATGAATATTAGTATAATATATTGACCTGATAATATATTATAAAATCGTCTCGTGTTTCTTTATACCTACTAATTTTATAAAAACAAAATATTTGGTTATTTCTTTGTATTGAATAAGCTCTGAAATTACTGCGCCGATTTTAAATATTGTTTCACCTACATTATAATCGTACGGGAAACCATATTATGATGACATACACCCGGTTTCTGAATGGAGAATTTTATGTTAAGCACGTCTCAAACCGTACTTAAACCATCTTAAAGATCACTCAAACAGGTTTTTATTTCTGATTTTAATTGTCTTAATGATTATTTTTTGCCATGTGAATAATATGTTGAGATTTTCTATTTTTCCCAATTCAAAACCGGCTGATAGGCGAAATAGACGAAAAACAGGTAGTATAAAATAGGTGTATTGATTTTGATATTACTTAAAACTTGTCTTTAAACTGAGTCTGTGTAATTCATCCTACGGGCTAAACGAAATAAACTCAAAGACGACGAGACTAATTTTGATGCCATCGTCAACAATGAATTTAGTTCATGGAGGAGTCTCCTCCATGATTTAGTTATTGTACGAGGAAAGTTTTGGTAAATAAATCATAAGGTTGCTAAAAATATTTTTGAAATTAGCATTACATACTTACTATTTAACAAAAAAAAGTTATTGTATACTTTTAATATGTTTTATGAAATTTTAATATCTTTGAATATTTTTGATAGGTCATTTGATTTTTAGCGGATTCTCATAATGAATGACACATAGTTTGAAAATTAGCTCGATCAATAATAGTGTTCAGTAGTAATTTTGTTTAATTTCAGGAGACAAGCGGTTTCCGCCAGTCGACTTTAGTTCATTGAAACTCATCGAATTTAGAAAATGTATAAAACTAATGTATCAGGTATACGTAGATACTTTACGGGACAACTTATTTAATTACGTAATACGTTTAGTAATTAAAATCCGATTTACCGACTTGTATAAGTAATACCTACATACGGAACAACGAATCGGCTTCGTAGTATCAAAATATTTCAATGTTAACACAAAAATAATTAGTTTTTTAAATAAGGTAACAATAATAAAACAATAACTTTATTACCGCGACGACTTTAATAATGATGATAATAAATACATCTAAATCGTTATAGGGAGAGTAGAGCACATGGCGATCTATCAAAACAACAAAGCCGATTGGTTTGGTGACGTTCCACCCCGGTGTGATATGTACGTCCTACTACCTAAATGCCTTATGTACACCGCTAGTTACTACTTCATGACTACTCCGAGCTCAGTGTGTACTGCAATGCAACGGAAAATATGCGTGTTTACCAAAGTCGTTTCGGTAGAACGGTGTCGTGTGTTGCGTCACGTTTTAAGGAAATTGATAATACTTGGAGGTCGACGTGACTGTCATAAAATTCATTTTAGTGCTCATTTGTGCTCTATTTACATTATGCACAATCCTTATTTCGGTGAAGTGCAGTGATATTCGAATAACATGGATTTATTTTTTTGCATCCTGTTATTCCTAGTGGGTGGAGGCCAGACAAATGTCCGACGCCATGACTCGATGTGCGACCGATATAACCTTGCGTTAGTGAGTGAGTATATTTTTTGTTGTAAATGATTTATCAAAACTGCACCAGTTGCGAAATTTCATAGCTCTAATATAATATATATAGTAAATTTAAGTTGTTATTTCATTAAAATTAATCAAAACTCAATTGAAAACAAGAGAATATAACACAAACGAATAATAATATTGAACGTCATTGCGAGGTTCAGTCAACAAGATGGCGCCGAGTGGGGAGAGTGCGCCCAGTTGGCCAGGTGCTGCCGCCGCGTCGAGTTCGGCGCTATAGCTAAACTAATACGCAGTGTTGTACATTTAGAACATTCACAATGGCTACCGCGAAAGACACGTCTACTTTCTTTCTGGAGGCAGACGCAAAAGAATTTGACAGTGTTTTAAAGTTATACCCACAGGCAATCAAACTAAAAGCTGAACAGAAAACAAAGAAACCCGAGGAGCTCATAAAATTGGACAATTGGTAAGTACGAACGTCTTTGAAAGGAGAAAATGCGGCCGTGGCGTGTCAATGAACTTGTATTGTGTGTGTATCCGTGCAAACTGATTTGATAGCTACCTCCCTCGCGGACTGCATCTCTAGTCCGCGGAGTGCTCATTAAAATCACTGCGTCACGTGGGATCGATGTCAAATTGACACAATCGTTTTTCCTGAAACCAGTGTGGGGGAAAATATCGCCGCGCTTAGGCGTTATAAAATGGTGGCTGTCCTTTACATTTCTGACAAGTTTTAATGCATTTACGTACACGTTTAACTGCGTTTCAGCTTTAATTTAGCAGTATTCTTGAATAAATAACATGTTCGATAATGAAAACGACATGTTATTGTATTTTTAACTGCTTCTTCTGATAATACAATGCTTTGTTGAGTCGAGTCACATCCGCTCAAAATGGTGACTTGCCTTTTAGCTTTGATACTCATTTCTAAAGTTATATTGTATGGACATTAAATTATTATTTATAATTTATTTATTAGATGTTGACTAACTTTAAAATTGATATTTTAACTAAACTATTCAGTTAAAAATAGGGACTATGAGTCATCAACCAGACCCCTATTTAGGACACCTACTTTTTGAAATTTAAAATATTATTCAATTTCATGTTTTTATTTATGCTTCACTTTGTCACACGAATAAATAAAAACACTTTTGATCGCCATTTTCATTGCATAAACAATAACATATTTTAAAATTAAAATGAGTCTAAACAAAAGTCTAAATAATTACTGTTATTTACTAAAGTAAATATATAATTTCAATAAAAATATTTATGAAATTTATATTTGTTTAAATCAGTTTTCGATTTGATTTGATTTTATATTTAGATAGGTACATCGATTATTGTTTAAAATTCCGACCTTTATTTATTAGTTAAAGTGTCTATAAAATTTTAATGTACATTTTAAGAAATCCACAATAATCAAGTGTAGTAAATTTATGTAATGCGTTTTTATTTGCAAATATTTAATAGCAATATCAGCATGTCAAATCAAAAAATAGTTACATGTTAATATCATTATAGACATGAATGATAATGTACTTAAGCTGAATTTGTGATACCACAGATACACATAGACTATGATGCTAATGAAACAGATGTCTCAATCTCTATGTGGTTAGTTCTGAGAAACAGATCTTTAAGATTTGACGACTTGAGCAGTGACTCGTATTTCTTTAAAACATTCTCATTGTAATAACAACAATATAAAATTACATATGTGTAGTTCTTTCACGTGGCGTTTTTTGTGGATATAATACGGAGGGTTGGAAGGTGATATATGATATTTCTCAACCTGCTAACAGTTCTATAGGGGTTCCTACAATTCGAAACATATCAAAAGTTAAAAAAAGATTATCCACAACTTATCTGTTTGTTATTTTAGTTAAAAATATCTATACCCAAATGTAAAACGATACAACTCATCGGCGTTGTTAGACGTCCCAAACTTTTCCCAAAATTAAATGACCGGCTTAGATTACATCACAGCAGATTCAACATTCAGATATAAAAATAAGACACGTTTTTGTTAATTCAACATATAAAAAATTATTAAATATATAATAGAATGATATTATAATAGGCATCTAATGGGCACCTATTCAAAAGTTTAAGTGATTCGCAATTGATTACACTTCGAGTTTTTAATAGTTAAGTAATAGTTTTTAATATGTCCCTTTGCCCAAAACAATATCGGACTAATTTCTGCTATTGTTTCCGTCATAGTGGCGTTTCAATTACCCTATGCTTATGCCACTACATTGTCTTCCTGCGATACAATATTATAAGTACAATGGTGTTGATAACTTATATCAAAACCATACCATAAAGCATGTTGAAACTTGAATGAAACGTTCTAATTACGTTGGAATTAGTAGTATTCAAACAATGACAGTACTATTATACATATATAGTAGTTAATTAATATATTTTTATATTCCTTCCTTTGATTGTTGCAGGTACCAGAATGAATTACCAAAGAAAATTAAGTCCCGAGGCAAAGATGCCCACATGATACACGAAGAGCTCGTGCAACTCATGAAATGGAAACAAGCGGTACGTACAAGTTTATAAACTCACTTTTAAGATATTATAACATTCACATAACGCCGTTTTATTATCGTTGATCATTTATTTCGGCGTAAAAACACAACTAGTCATGTATTTTATCAATGACTAAATTTTCTCGCGAATTTGCTCGCGTAGAATATAGCTTATGTCAGTCGCGTACGATGTCGTTTCCCGTAAGTGAAAGGATTTTTAAAATCGGCCCAATAGTTTCGGCGTCTATTCTATGCAAACAAACAATTTAACAATTAATCAAATCTTTCCTTTTGATAATATTAGTATAGATGTCTTTATTTTTAAGTTCTCCATGCTTTTATTTTTAAGTTGTGTTAAAGTTACACATATTAAAGCAGTTACAAGGTCTTGTGCTAAATAAAATATATAGATATATAACTGAAACGTCATATGATCAGCACAAAAAAATCTCTAAAATTATAAGACTTTCTGGAGTCTGCCAGGTTTATAAGGGCTACTGTAATTATGGTGCCAAGTAATAGTAGCTCGCAGGGACTGTATGTATATATCTCAATAACTTTGAATAAAAACAAACTTATTATGTTATTTTTTTTCTACAAACAATAACTGCTAATGAACAATATCTTTTGTAATTGCAGAGAGGAAGATTTTATCCACAATTATCATATCTTATAAAAGTGAATACACCTAGAGCCGTAATGCAAGAGACAAAGAAAGCTTTCCGTAAATTGCCTAACATAGAATCAGCTTTGACAGCACTTAGCAATCTGAAGGGAGTGGGCACAGCTACAGCATCAGCACTACTCGCGGCGGCAAGCCCTGAAATAGCACCGTTCATGGCAGACGAGTGCCTACAAGCCATACCAGAAATGGAAGGAAGCGATTACACTGCCAAGGAATACCTCAACTTCGTAAAGCACATAAGGACCGTCTGTGATAGGTTAAATAAGGTTAGCAATTCAGCAATCTGGTTTCCAAACATTACCATATCCATACATATTCATCCTTATTAATAGATTCCATTACTTTAGTGGAACTAACACTATACAGGAATCTACAGCGTTTAACTTTTATGATGGTCCTTTTCTCTACATCGCATTTTATATTTTAAAATGCAGTGATTTTCCAGGTAACAAATGATTCTAATATAAACAATGTGATTCTAGGAACAAAACAGTTGTGGCAAGAAATGGTCCCCACATATGGTTGAGCTCGCGTTATGGACACACAATATAGTGTCAGAGCTGCGACCTGAACTGCTCGGTAAAGAGCCTAACATCAATAATGCACCAACAAACGGAGGGTCACCATTACCCAGTGACGAGAGTAACCTGGAACCGCCCTCCACCAATGGCAATGGTAAGGATATTTATGATACATAAACTAACATAGCACACTAGGTTACGTTACTGAAATATACGCAAAAGGTAAAACCGTAACTAAGCTACGGCAGAAGACTCAAAGATAAATAAGTAACCTTTAAAAAAAGTGCTTAATATAGCAAAACAGAGAAAAGAGTTTTAACATAAAATGCATGTTCTCTGCAGAAATTAAAAGGCCAAGACACAGTATATACTGTAATATCATCAGTGAAAACGCCTATTTTCATAGACTTTAGTAAGATAATATGTGTGATCAAGTAGAAAGATTTAATCTAGGACAACAAAATAAAATTAATTGTGACAAATCAATGGCTTTTCGATAACAGCTGTTTTTAAACCGTTCTTGTTTCTAGATCATAAAATAAAAAAAATATCTGACACCACTGATTTAGTTTTAATTTAGAAGAAGACATTAGGTAGATAGTACAGTTTCAAGTTGCAATTAACTGAGACACCATTAAAATGCCATTATTAACTTAACTGAAGACCCCAGAATAAATCTAGTAGATATTGAAATGATCTGTGTGGTTGCAGACATACCGATTAACAACTGTTAGATGTTGTACATATAATATTAATAAGTAAGCGCCTACATCATCACCGAGTCGTCAATAAATACCGATTGTCGCGAGTAGTAACGGTAAGAGAATTAAACTTACAACAATGCCCACCACACAAAGAACTTGTGTTATGAATACAAAATAAACTTTGTCCAGTCAATACATTGGGCAATTTAAAAATGTGAACCATTTTAATGTTACCAGAATTCCTGTTATGTACACTAAACGGCTGAGTAAATTGCAAACGCAATTAGTCAGCTTATATAAAAATAGAACTGACCTGCCTCAAAACGTTCTAATAATAATCTGATAAAGCCGATTCTTTCTTCGACTATTTTTTGAATTCTATTTTGGTAGCGGAAGGCATATCGCACGATTCCGCTGTAACAGAAATACACAATACCACGTGGACAATAATAGACGGCAAACGGGGAGGATGGGGTATGGGGGGGGGGGGAGTAGTTGTTTGTTTACATACCCAACTTCGAGTCATTTTGATTTGTTTCACGCTAAAAGGCAATAGACACTTGGAGGATAATGAAAATTTATCGTTTGGTCATTTCCTTCAAATGTATTACGTAGGTGCATATATTTTATAATTACCTACACATCCTATCTTCTTGATACGGACGTCTCCGCAACTTAATGTCTAAATTGCACTTGTTTTGACAATAATAGGGTCAATGCCTGGGTAAAAGGAAATTCTTTAGTACGGTAAGTCCGATAATAGAAGAATATTAGATTCTACATAATTTTTGCTTCAATTTATTAATAAGAAATAACTTAGATGATAGGTAATAAAATTCGGGAGTAGGGCTTCACTACATCATAAGTATGTAGAAAATTTACATGACATTATATGACATTGCAACAATAAAAATATAATAAAAAATATATATAATATAATTCCATCATTTACATTTAATTGACGGTTAAAACATTTTATTATGATCCCTATTTTATGTGACCATTTTTCTTTTGGTATTAAAACCGGACGCCTACGGAATTTTGCATATATGTAAATAGAAAAATATGTCGATGTAAAATGCCATATTTAAAAGCTAAATACAAATTATGGATTTAAATGTGACAATAGTTGTGATATCTTACTCATACTGTCATGTTCTCCGAGGGATTTGTAGTGAAATTTTAATGTAGACAAGTAACTAAGTAGGTAGGTTTGTTTTGTTAAAGCGAGACATTTTCATTATTTTTGGGGACAGCAGGACAATCCCGCCCAAAGCAGGACATATGGTCTCATTATCCCTATTCAATAAGTGTGTAATCAAAACATAGTTTAAAACAAAGTCGCTTTCCATCTGTCTGTCTCTATGGATGCATAGATATTTACAACTACGCAACGGATTTTGATGCATTTTTTTTAAATAGATAGATCAACCTATCTATCAAAGAGAAAGTTTTTAATATATAAAACAGGGCGCTGGCGGAAAGCATGTTATATTTATTTCTTTATTTAATGTGACATAAAAATATGAATGTCGTTGATAAATAGAATCAACCGAACTCCAGGTTTACTACAATAGGGTCGAATTTTTAAAACAGATTTCAAACGTTATGAAAATGTTATTTGAGTTTAAAATTGTATGCAGGTCTCTGGTCGTTGTTGCTGCTGTGTACAAACAATGTACTCGCTAATTTATCGACAATAGAATCTTTTTGTTTTTAAAACGAGCGATGATTAATATTTCTACTATTCTGAAACGAAATATTGGTTATAATAATACCTATATACTTTCGCAATGTTATAGTGATATGTATCCTCTAGAAACAATTCAACCGTCTACTAATTATTATACTCAATATAATAAGCCGCAAATAATTTCATCTTAATCGAAAATTAAGAGGTTTCCTTCGACTGTTTAAGTATTGGAATGCTTACTTTTTTTCTGTAACTCTAACATTAATGGAGAACTCTCGATAGCAGCGGAAATAAAACAGCTTGAGGAATTTGCAACTTATGTTGTTTTTTCATTTTAAATTACAGCTTATTTTTGACGTAATTTCTGTGTACAAAACCAGTCGAAAGGTCTTAAGGTCTTGTATAGCTCATTTGGCACAGCAGCCGACCAGTTAGTAAAAGGTTACAATTCCATTGCGTTTTGGGCACCTGAGACTATTCATTTTTTTAAGTGCTTTTCTGTAATATTAATTATTTTACTAAACGCTTGATATTATTGGATTACCTATTGTAATCTCACACCTGTTTTTATAATAAAATATAAAATTCAAGTTTAAATAATATTTTTAAGATATAGGATTAATAATAAATGCTATATCTTTACTTTTTCAGTTTGTATAATTTATATAGAACAATTATTACAAGGAAAAAAAAGTCCAATGTCCATAGTTGAACTAACACAGACCTCGATGTTCAATTTGTAAAAGCTAATTGTACTAAAGACGTTAAAATCTCAGTGAGTCAATAATGTTACCAAGAAAGTGTTAGCATTGCAATTTACATGATCCCTAGATAAGGCATAGCTACCTGCATTTAAAATCCTTTAATTACATCGTTCGTTGTTCCCGTGTCATTGTTATGGTCAGTAAAATTGTTAACACAAAAGGAAGGTAGGAAATTTTTAAACGAACTCAAAAGCTTATTTATCACCTTAAAAGCTTAAATAGCCATTTTATTTGAAGCAGGTAAAACTATTTACCTGTGGCACAATAGTGCCAAAGGCGTTACTGATGGCTTAACTAAAAAAGACATACTTCTTTCCATACATTGCATGTTAAATAAAAGCTTCTAAAAACAACTAATTTGGGTTTGTTTTAACATTATAACGTAGTCATATATAATTTTAATCAAAGAAATATAATTTTACTCCTATTTACTATAATAACTTTACTTCTATTATCTTTTTTCACAATTGAAAACGTAGTTTGACAAAACTAAACTTAAATTTAGTATAAATATAATATTATGATATTACTATACTTAAATGATTTTTATATTTGTGTTGTTTGTATCTTTATTTTTAAAATTCACATGGTATTTTTTTAGTTATAAACAACATAAGACATTATATAATTAACTGTAGATACATTGTTTTTGCAATTTCCTATTGTGTGGATAGCAGAGGCGTATATACTATAAATAAGGAAACCTTAACAATAGTATAAATTCCGTAAGCTTAATGATTTATTTAAATAAGTTTCCTCTTTGTTAATAAATTAATATGTACGTAAAATTCGTATAATTCTTAAACAAAATGGGTACGGGTATATTATTCATAACGTTTCTACTATAGACAATGTCACAATTAGATGGTTGAATGTTAGCTAGAACTCTCCACTAGTTTGTCGTAGAGAATAAATTATAATTTAAAATGATAACGACATGAACATAAATATATGAAATATCCAGGGAATAATTCACTTTGCGATATTCGCTGAGATTATCTCGATTAGGTCATATAATTAGAAACAAATTCAAAAACGGAATCAAATTCAATTTTTTAATTCTGTTTCTTTCTTATTTATCACCAGTTACTTATCACCTGAGGTTTACAATTTAGGAAGCCTTTGCCCTAGTTGATAATGTTTGCCTAACCAATGAAGAAATATTTTAAGAAAAAAAAAGGAAGCACTAAAAAGCACCTCACTAGATAGCGACTCTACCAAAAGTTGATTTTTGCAGGAAACGAATGAACCAAAGATGGTCATTTCCGTTCCTTTTAACTAAGATATTAAACTGAAATTAAGAACGAAAACGAAACTTAGATATCAATACAAATACAATAAAAAATAGAATACAGGGTTTTGAAAATTAATTTTCTTTTATACATGAAAGAAAACCGGAAGATTTGTCATGGAGAAATCAAGATAGTACCGTAACGACATCTAGTTTGATTTCGGGTACTTTTTTTAATACTTCCTCATTTGTTATGCATTTTTACAAAGATTAGCTTTCATAAATTTAAATTTTAGTTTATAAAGGGAGGTTTTGCATTAAAAAAAGGGCCTTTTAATAAGCTGGTTGTGTAGTAGATCTATTAAAATCATAAAACGCCAGTAACCACTCATTATTTTCGTACTGAATATCAGTCCGGCTAAACGGACAGCTGAGCCGACAGAAAGTCTTTTTAAGGAACTTTCAGAGTAGACTCTTGGTATTCCGCTATCCTCTTCTTAGAAGCGCCACAACGTTGCCTATCGCCTCGAGAATCTATCGACCCCGCTATCTTTCTCGTTCTGACATATGGCAGTTCTGAGCGACATACAATTATAAAGCGACGTAAAAAATGACACCGTGCTGCAAAACGTAGCTCAATTTTTCATTGGCGGATGATCTAACCGTGCCCAACTAAAATTTGTTCACAAGTCTTCCATAGGACTAACACTCTTATCTATTATCTTTTTAGTAGCGAAAACGTATCAAATGCTAAAAAATTGTTAGTCCTAGGTAGCTGGGCAGTGGTTGCAGTTGGAATAGTCGTCCGGATTGCGAAATGGCATGGGTTCGAGTCTCATCTCAGAGTGGACAAAATGGATTTTTTAAGCATTTTTCTTTAAGAATATGACTCGTATCCATAGTCAAGTAATTACTTGAGTAAATAAATAAAAGTAGAGTAGCTCGATGGCGTAGTGGATAAGCGCCGTGGCCTGCAATCGTTGTTGATAAGCAACTCGCAAGGGCCGGTCGCGGGATGGGTGACCAAAAATTATTATCTCGAGCTACTTCGGAACGCACGTTGACCCGTTGATCCCGGCTGCAGTCGTTAATAAACTTTAATCCGCATTTGGCCACCGTGAAGGCCTGAGCCCCAACAGCGGAGACGTTAAAGCGCTGATGATGATGATGACAAGTAATAACTTATGCGAATATAATAAACAAGAATTTAATTGAAGCATGTGCTCCCAAAGTTAGGATACTATTATTATTAGCTATTGACAGCTACTTCATAAAAATATTTGCTCAAGTTATGACTTTTCTTTTACTCGAGTTATCACTTCTACTCGACTATAGATACTAATTTAATGCTTCAGTTTTTTTTTTTATTTGACATGATTATTATACTGTGAAACGTTTGTTACAGGTAAACTAGCGGACTCAGTGAACGAAGACACAACAACATCGTGCACGGAAGACTCGATGGACGCCAAGGCCCCCTCTCCAGCCACCCCCGCCTCACCTTCCGATAATTCAGACTCCGCAGTCAGCACGCCAAGCGCCAAAAGGTTAGTTTACTTACAAGAAAAAAAAAGAGAAAGAATGAAAAAGAGAAATTTATTTGATAGTAGCTGTTTTACGGTCACTGTGCCCTCGTAAATTATAGTTTAAAGGTTTTTCAAGATCAGATCAGTATTTCCGAAAATTACCCCCCTACAAACTTGGTCACTAACAATTTCATCTCATCAGATACATTGGTTTGGAAGATAATAAGCTGTGTTAGCAGACAGATAGACCCATGAATGATCTTAAAAAGGCCCTAGAAAATCAAAAGACTTTTTAATTATGAATGGTAGTGTACAATGACTTGTGACCAATGACTGTTGTAGGGTTTCCATCCGTCCGCATAACCTTAGATTTACCGTTGTTATTATTAAGGCTTCAGCAAAGCATATGCATAGGGTTTAATACAGTATCAATAAAAAAATGTATGCATAAGATTTAGAGTTTTCGACGTATATTTTGTTTTGTACTTTTGAAGTAAGTAGGTTTTATTTGATTGAATCACTTAAACTGTGATGTCACAGTCTAGTGTTGTGTCAGAAATTGCGTCCGACGCTATATTTTTTTTTTCACAATAACAAAACTTAATTATTATAACGTCACTTTATTATTATATACTTATTATGAAGTTTTATCGACCATTTTAACGCATGTTAGATTACAATTTGTTTCAATTTAATAGTAATCTAAGCAAAGCATGGGATGTTATCTAATATTTATATTTATTTAACTATCAACAGACCATTAGAGGAAGCGAGTTCAGCGGAGGAGAACTCACTGGGCGACTCATCAGACGTGCCGGCGCCACCTGTTGCAAAGAAACTACGAGAAGCCACACACTGACACAAGCGCACCCCACCAAGCAAACCCCGTGCGCCTATAAATAGCTTTCTAGACTAAAATATTGTACCTAGGTAATTTATTTTTCAATTCCGTTTAATTTTAAACTTAGCATTAAGTTTTAAGAGTACCGGTCGATTTTGTAAGTTTTATAGGGTATTAATTAATTAATAATTCGGATGCGTTTCGATGAACTTACGCCGGGCGCTCTACCGAGAGTATGAGATTGTATAATATTTCAATGCGAGTGTATTTTCGGTGGCCCACTACAGGGCCTAGAGTTGGGTTTCGTTTGTAAAAGGATTTTTCGATGATTGAACGTTCGCATCCCGCGTGACATTCCAATAATTTGTAAAGTAACCGGACCAGAGTGACTTGCGCTGAAAATCGAAAATAACTTGTGCTATTTGTTATGTATACGTTGATTGCGTATAGAAATAGCGAGCAGACTATTGTCAACATTATCGTTTCGATTTTCAGCGTAGGCCTGCAGATGCCTTGACTAGGCCACTAGGCCGTCACACTCACACCATTGCCTTATGACACAGTCTGCCCGCAGAGTTTATATTCAACAAGATAATACAAAGGTCGTGTTACCCGGGCGCCGGGCACACGGGCCCACAATGTAGTTTTTATTGAACAAATATAAGATATTAATTTTATAATGTCGCATTTTTTATTTAACGCCTGGTCACCCTATAAATCCCCACCCAATACAATTATTACGAAAATTAACGAGTGCGCATCGAATTTACATAATATGTCATATTCCGTAAAAGGAGTCACGATTTCTAGAACATAAATAGACGTTTGAGCTCTATACGAATTCTATTCGCACCCTTATCAGACAACAAAAGTTTATAGATATCATATCTTTTCCTTACCTAAAGGGTCAAAAAGAAACATTATTAAGACTGATATCTAGACAGTTGAAACTTTCACAGATAATATTTCTGTTGCAGTTAAACAGAATAAAATAAATATTTAGGGGGGCTACCATATAAGAACCTCTATTTTTTGTTTGCTGTTTTATATAGTGACGGAACCCTTTGCGCGCGAGTCCGTATCGCAATTGATCGTTTTCAAATACATATTTTGTAAATCAAACTAACATTAAAATGTTTTAATTTATTTTAAAATTTAGCAGTGTTACTTAAAACTTAAGTTTATCACATACAGTTTAATAACAAAGTAACAATAGTTTTGTATTTCTCTCGACTATAGAGAAGTAATTACTTGAGAATATTTATTACTTAAGAAAATATTTTTAATAAATAAAATATATGAATAATGATAATATTCTAACTTTTGCGAGTTCTAATAACTTTCTAATTCTTGTTTAATTGGTAAAAATATTTGCTTGATTAATGACTTTTTTGAAGTAATTACTTCTCTCGAGTGTAAGAGAACATTTACATTTTACAAAATCAGTGGAAACAAAGGTAGAATACAACCTTACTGCATCGGAATAAGATGCATTCGATCTCAGTATTTATTATCACTAACGTAAACTGTACTGTGAATCACTAGGTATAATAATAGACAAACAACCAATATGAATATTCAAGTTAATAAACATTATTTATTTAGTTACAAATAGGTATAGTCCAGTGGCCGTACAGAGAGTACAATGATCCGGCATATCTCTTTCACTCTTACATATTGTTATTGCGTTCGCACAGACGTATAAAGCTAATTTTATCATAGTAAAGTAAACTTAAACTGTCGACATCCATCAATAGGCACAAAGGTCAACGTACGAAATTCTCTCTGTTGGGCGACCGGACAGTTGGAATATTATATGTAAAGAATTAGTATGCCAAGAGAGAGCCGAATCTTCAAACATAGTTTATTGACCCGTTAAAAAGAAACTGAAAAGTAAATTTACAACCAAATTTTTAGAAACATAATAATACAAAAAGTAAATTTACAACCAACTTCTTCGACAAATAACCGCCCGCGACTTCGTCCGCGTGGAAGTCGGTTTCCCACAACCCCTATCAATAAGGGGTATGAAAAATAGATGATGGCCGATTCTCAGACCTACTCAATATGCTCACAAAATTTCATGAGAATCGGGCAAGCCGTCTCAGAGGAGTACGGGAACGAAAATTGTGACACGAGAATTTTATATATATGGAGATATAAGACCACACTGACGAAGCCGCTAGCGTACTATAAATTAGTGTAAACAGTAAATATAAAGATTTAAAAATAGGCAATTTTTTTATTTTCGTTTATTTCTGGAACGATCTTCTGTGACACTCACTTTCATCAGGTCATTGGTTTATGACGTAAAAAACACTTTCCAATAAATTCATAGTTAAAACTCCTTTTATCATAACTTTATGACGTACAAAACTTCACTAACACAAAAAAAAACACTAAATTAATGCTGAGCTTCGACATCTTGCTGCAAATGCTGATACAATACCGCCGGTCTATTTCCGGCCGCCATTCTCCCCGCGAAGTCCGGCCTTCTGGAAGGTCTAGGTCCCGCTAGGAGGGCGTCTAGAACATTCCTGGGGGTCCACACATCACCAGATTGCCCGTTGCCAGCACCCACTGGCGATAGGGGAGAATCTGTTGTCGCACGAATCACACTCGCTCGAGATTCACCTGTAAATCAATTACATATAAGTATTGAGTACGAGAGGAACATTAAGTTTATGTACCATAAAATGAATAGACCTACAGTTGACGGCTATTACGAGTAAATTAATATTTTCCTAATTAATAGCCGTTGACTGTAACTAATTTAATTAATATTTTAACGAGTTTGGCAAAGGAAGTTAGAGATATTTATTCTATAACATGGATTTTCTGGTGTTTCTACAGAAGTTTCAATAGAGAAATATTGTGGTTTTAATTTTTGACTCATTAGGTCACTTATTTATCATTAACCAAGTTAAAGTTTTGCTGATAAACGAGAGTGTGGTGCTGCTGAACTAACGATAGTTCGGCAGCGCCACAGCTGGAACTTTGCATTTATGTTGCAAAAGAAATTACGAATGGTGTGCACATTGGTACCATTGAAAGCATCGATTGAACCGCGTTACATTCAATATTAAATTCAGTTTTCAAAAGTGACTTTCAAATATTATCTAGTGGTAGAGTTCTGCACAAGCTCTAGGATATGAGGGTTCGAATTGTATTGTTGATACAATTAATTTTTCCAAAAGAAAGAAAGTCCAATACTTGTAATGAAATTTAAGGTAAGATTTGAATTATTGACACTTACTGTCTTTTAAGACAAAGGCCGTCAGTTATAAGTCGACCCATAATGTTTAATTACTACAAAAATTGGGTTTATCAATAAATATTTATCTAGAAGATGCATGCGACGCAATATAAAATTTAGATTAGTATAATATATGTGAGCTATATATGAGCAATTTTGCATTCACTGTTGAAAAGCTTGGTCCAGAGATCTTACAAATCAAAGGAGCTCAAACTTGGTTGCGTTATTGAATTTAAATTTATATATTTATTTAAAACAAAAATAAAAATAAATATAAGTATACCCTACCCTACCCAATCTTCAGATCAGCTTCATTCCATATTAATAACATTTTCATCAAATGCATGCAAAATTTCAGCTCCATTCAAAACATTGCTTACAAAGTTTGACCCACATAAACCCAGGAAGATAAAATTTAAATTTGTAAAAACAATACGATTTATCATAAGCTCCATGCAAAATTAATTGATAAATTGTCAGTTGCACAAACGTTCATTAGATTTAATGTGGCCATTAAGCTCTAATGCTTAAAAGTTTAAATTAATGAAAATGTAACTAACTAATAATCACTTAAAGCAAGTCTCCACACAATTAGTTAAAAAAAACTTTTCAGTATCATTTCAAATTGACATACTACGTGTACGGATAACGAATTAATACGATACCTTCTTAGAAATTTCGTATACTTTTCAAGCACTGATATGACTCCGTTACCCATTTACTATAATTTATACTACAACAGAGGTAGGGCCTAACGCTGCCTCTGATGCACAAATTATCTTTACGGATATGATTTTCAAATTTTCGTTTGATTACAAATAGAATATACCTTTAGATGTCATGTTAAATCGTACGAGTTATAAGTTCTTTCTAAACCAAACTTAATGTTACACTACTAACAACTAGAATCTGAAACTACCTGCATCAGATAAGAGCAATTATTATAGCAGTAAAAGGAAAGCGAGACAAAGAAAATAATGCGCTTGTATTATGAAAATCTGAAACAACGAAGGCATTGCAACAGCCAAACCAGAGGCAATATAGAAAAGCTCATTTTCTACTGCTACCGACCGAGAATCGAACCGGGACCTTAGAGATGGCGACACCTTGAAACCAGCGTCCAAACTTCAATGCTAAAAAGTTTCAATGCTAAAATCTGTACGTATTTTTTTATATATATAAAGTATATTTACTATAATAAAATAAAAACCAGCCCAGAACTTATCGGACTCACGCGCTGAAGGTTAATTTTTAAAACCATCGACAACTAGATTTCATGTAATCGTTAGATAAAGAACCATATTTAGATTTTTTACTTAATTACCCTAAAATAAGAATAGGATAAAAAAATATATAAAATCTATACTAATATTATAAAGAGGAAAAATTTAATTATTTGCATCGAATACGCTCTGAAACTACTGAACCGATTTTAAAAATTCTTTCACCTACGGGTAGACACATAATACAGGGTTGACATAGGACATAATTTACGCGTGAAGAAAATAGCCAGTTAATTAATAAAGCTGCTAAAATAACATATCAGAATATAATTAATATAAAATGATACTGGATAGTTATCAAAAGGAAATTAAAGTCATTCACTTACCTTCCACATTGATATTGCTTGGAATGTTAAAACATTAAACGTACACATGCTCCCAAATATATAGTGTAATAAAATAAGACTTAAATTTTATAATAAAAAATAATAAATTACGCACAGTGAAGAAATTTCCGCTTAAATTAGCTACTAAGCTTCATTGGCATTTTCAGTGCTATTAACAGGCTCCTTATCTAGAACGTCATCGACTTATTCAATGATTTCGAAGAAAAACATTTTACATTTTGATTAATACTAAATAACAACAGATTCAGTTGAAAATTAAAGTTAAGGGATGGGGGTAAAAAAATATAAGAAAAACATACGTTAAATAGTGAGATAAAGCATGGTGTTAAGCATTGTGATTATCCGCATAAAGCATAAATTAACTAACACAAAGAAGCTTAGAATCATCATCCATTACTTATACAGGGTAATCTATATAAAAAAAACAGCAACTACAAATTTAGACAATAAACAACTTTTAATCTACGAATTTAACCAAAAGTTTTTATTACACTGTCATAAAATTTAATGTTTATATTTTATTCATAAACGAAACTGTGCACGTTGTTTGAAGTACATACATAAAGTAAATAGAGTTATTAAAATGAAAGTGACAAATTCAATTGTTATATATGATTGTTTGTCGTTTGTGTTTAACAAATGACCCTGTATATGTTTAACTTTGATCACTATTGCACTCTAAAAACACACACTCGCGCATTCATAAGCAAGTCAAATTGCTGGAATTATAGTTTATGTATTTTATATAAATATATCTATAAACTAAGCCTTGTTATTTCATAGTTCAAAAACGATATTGTCCTTCGTTTTGTTTGGTTCCAATTTCAAACATTACTACGTCAGATCAGGGCTCGGAAACTTGCAGCTCTCAAGTTCAATTTACAACAAATAAGTCTGCCAACCCCTATATTACGTCATTGTTCAGAGAGCGATATTGTCAAACTCTTTGTTTGATTGTAAATTTTACTCATAATTACTCATCATCAGTCATTTTACGTCCCCACTTCAGGGGCTCAGGCCTGCCTTATGGAAGGTTAAGGAGAAAGGGTCTTGGCCCTCCACGCTAGCCCAGTGCGGATTGGAGAGCTCGAGATAATATTTTGGTCACCCATTCCATGAACAAACCCTTGCGAAAGTTGCTTAACAGTAACGATCGCGGTCAGCGGCGCTTATCCACTACGCTACCGAGCTACCATTCATCCTCATCATGTTATTGGTGCAAGAGCAACATTATCTAGCGCTTTTGTTATTCTGAATTTCACACACAACCAACACAATTAGACACTTTTCAATCGATCTAGTACGTAACTTGATGTTTCTAAGGGAGGATAGTTCTCGATTTGAAGGTCCAAGTGGTTATTGGTCCTCAATCATATTAAATGTAGCAGGTACTTACTGTCAGATGTATGGTTGTTGTGGGCGCGACATTCTAATAACACACGCAGTAACGCTCGATGCGCAGGCGAAGCGGAATGTGCACGTATCAAGGCTTCTAGTTCCCCCCACACTTGCCGCCAGAGTTCTTCGCGGCGACCACTCGATTTTCCCCTGTAAGAATAGATAATAACCCAATGGAGTTTAGCCAGGCCCGGACCTACAATTTTTTCCAACCTGAGCAGAAACTTGATATTGCGCCGTTAGACCTTACGCCCTATAATTTAATTTAGGGACTTAAAAATGTATCCGTCCCATCATAACCTAAGTCTATAAATTTTTAGACACATTTTGTGAAGCTAATTTTTATTACTGTTGTATCAAGTTATAATGATTTTTAACGCCTCCCTGATACTGGCCCCTCCCTAAATCCGGGCCTGAGTTTAGCAGCAAATTTAATACCAAGCCATCGTTGATGATATGTAAGCTCATTAATGTCATTGTATTTTTTATAGACGACATTGTTTATAAGACCGAGTGACGTCATTTCGCTATTTAAAAACATAAATTGAACAATTTTATTATTCACTTTGATATTTTAGTAACTATAACTAACATTTCCTGTCTGATTATAGCCTTACACCTGGTTTCTGAATTAAGAAAAGTACAAATCCCAAATGATTAAACTCGATAACAAGTTTTTTTTTACGTTTTGCAAGTCATCATCAAATCCTACTTTTATCAAAGTGTCATCAATGGATTATATAAAAAAACAGTAACGAAAACCTATTTAAGTTACCATAAAATGCAGTTTGAGACCTTCTTAACTATAAATTCTCAAATCAGAAAACGCTTGTAAGTAACTTTTTTTGTATAATTTCGAATGTTTAGTCATAGTTAAAAAATTAAAAGCAAAATAACATTTAAAAAGCTTTATTATTATAAAGAAGAAAATCAAATGTTCCTTTTAAATTTTGACTACTAACTTATAATGTTATTATACGCAATTTATATGATAATAAAAATTTCTCGCTAGGTTTAAGTACCTATCAATATTAAATTAAATTGCAATTTCAATTGATACCCATATTGCAGACGTGCATGAATAATAACTATTCCGCCATATTGGATTTAGAATGACTTCACACACCTTATCATGCATTGTCATTCAAACTAAACGAGTATACAAAAGTTCAGCTCAATCGGTTTAAGATATCTACTTTAAAATTGAGTCCAAAGATTCCACCCGAACAAACATACATACATTGCAAGCTAATAAGCTTTTAATATGATAATGGCAATTTTCAAAAATACAAATAAAAAGAATATATCGACGCTGGAAAGCAAACACGTACCCGCAAAACCAAAATTGTTCTTCAGAGCAGAAAAACTTTTATTTTTTTTTCGATAAATAATTGCTAAAATGTAATAAATAAAATTTACCTTAGTGAATTTATACTAAAATCAGTTTTTCTTTTAAATATGAAGATTTTCTACTCTAAATATCCATTTTGGTTTTGCGGGTTACTACTGCTGCGGGTGTCTGCTTTCCAGCGTCGATATAACATTCCATGAAGCAAAGGAATATAATATAATTTAAATCATAAATAAGCCCACCTCATATTAGATGGTAGCTGTGCCGTAGGAAACTCGTGTCGCGATTCCATGCCCAGCAACGAGAGAAGCACACCTCTGCACGTGTCTACTTCTTCATCAGTAAGGGACTCTTGCACTACTAACCTAGTCAATGGCTCCATTACCTGAATTAAAATTATATTTTTTGTAATATAGTCATAATTTACCTGCATACAAAGTTTTGAACTTTACAAGGAATTTTAGCTACTAAGTTTAATGTTGTCATAATATGGACATGCCTGAAATAAATGGAGATGCATTGTTTAATTTCTCTATAATTCGAATTATTGGAGGAAAAATCATAAAATATCTCAGAAAAACAGAAATTGTAGGATAAAGTATTAACTTAAGCAAATTACGAGATAAATTAATAAATACGTTGATACTAACGGATCCCAAGTTAAATATGAGCGTTGATGATATGGTGAGGGGCCAATAAGTAGTGTGCCGTTGTAAGCGAGCCCTCGCTCGAGCGTTTGCCCCCGTACCACGGAGTGGACCTAAACGATTCTGTTGCATCAGTGCACCGAACTCTTTTATCCTGCAAACGATTTATAAAAACTTTCTTAAGATAAACAATATTCATCTAAATTTGGAAATTTTTTGAGTGGAGACTTGGGCGTTACTCACCAGTCAATAGCGCACTGATTTTCCAGTCCCAAACAGTGAGTTTATCAATATAAAACCTTAAGAATTTCATAAATAACAACCAGTTTATCTAACTGCATTATGTTTTGTATTTCATTTTCACATCTCAGTACGGGGCTTTATAAAGTTCAAACATACACATTCCACATTCAAATTAATCACGTGTTCAAAAGAATTGTCAAAAAATCTGTTGATTTTTTTATCTTTTTCTGCTATAATAGTTATATTAAAAGCAATAGTGATGATGACTGGGTAAAAAAACGAAATTCTATTTAGTGAGTCAATCAGATATAAAAAGGTGTTAGATACGTATTTTTCTTTTGTTTCAATTTATCGTTGCTTTATGCTGTGACATAGTTACTATTTTACCTAATATATTTTATCGACCCGTATTCGAAGCAACGAATGTACCACAACCATCCAGATACGAGATAATATAGAACAGTTCATATATATTATTCTTTGACCCGACTACCCATATTAGAAGGATTTCAGATATGACAATGAAGTCACGTTATTCGTTCAGGCAGATAGCCGTAGAGTAAACAATGAGACGAAAACTATTCAATGGGATTACGTACATAATATATATAAGCACTATCTAATCTGGCTGATTATTAGTCATATTACCTATAGTCCGTTACTCGTCCACCAGCACCTTCTGATAATGCTGGGGGATCGTCATATGTAGTTCTACCCCCCAACGCACCGATCCACAATTCCCCGCCCTGCGCCGCTAGTACATGAGATGCTGAACGACCTCCACCCTTTCTATAACCGATATATTGACCAATATTAATAAAAAAAAAAAAAAAAACAGTACTTCAAATTAGGACTTTTTAGCCACCACGCCCTGAAAAGGGCAGGTTTGTAGGTATGTTGGAAGTTGGCCCCAAAGTGGGTTGAACCCGACGAGCTCCTTACTGGATCCCAAGTCCTTCCCCCCCTAAGAGGATATACCGCAGCGGGTTTTACCAGGTAAACTTGTCCTTTTGTCGTTAAAGATCCCCGGTTTAAAGCTTAAGGTGAATTTGGCCTGCGTTATCAAAAATAATGTGACTGGACTCCCTGATAAAACCCGCTGCGCCCCAGTCAGGTATCCTGTAATGAAACTTACCTGGGCACCTCTAAGGTGACAGATCTTCCGTTGAGTAGAAAGTTGACGAGACAAGCGGAGGGTCTGGAGGCGACGTCAGCAGGCGTCACCCTCCACAGAGGTCCAGTACACCCACCCGCGCCCCCCTCCGCGCCCCGAGGCGTCCACCAACGGAGTACCACCTGAACAGTAGTCTACATTCACTGTCTGTTGACGACAGCAAATCACAGCGCTTACATACTTTCGGTTTATTTATTTGCAAGCTGCGAGATTCTAAACCATGACCTTTCGCAATCCGGGCGACTGCTCTCACCACTGAGCTATACAGGACCTAACAAGACTGACGAATCTTTCAAGCACTTTTTACTTTTTCGCTCCTACAAAGCAATTTTTCATCCATGTTCATGTAATCCACCCATCACGAAATAAATATTTTTAAATTTTAAACTTTCGATAAAGATGAAAATTTGTTTTAATTATTATATTTTATTAATTTTGCATTCACAATGCTATACTGAAAAATATTATTTATGAGAATGTTAAAAAAAATCCACTTCATCACCAAAAAAATAAATAGTAAATATACAGTCTACGATATTAATTTCCCCACAGCTAAGGTATAGGACTTCCCTGTGGCTTGAGTCGAAACAAATAGGCTCGCACTGAGCCTTGTTGGACATTAACAATTGCAGATGCAGCCGGGGCCAACGGGATTGCCTCCCTAAGCACGGAGCTCGCGATAATAAAATTTTGGTCACCCATCCTATGATCGGCACTATCTAATACCACAGATGCCATTATACTACCTATAATTAGTATTAATTCATAGGTACCAGAAGCGCACTTGTTGCAGGAAGACGCCGTTTTATAGATAATTTGATTTTTTACACAGCGTAACATTTTATTTGTGAATTAATACTTATTACGGGGACACTTTAAATGTAATTTTTTGCTATCGTTTTAAACCACATTGCATTTTACATAAGAAAGCTTTTAAATACGAACCGAAAACCTTTAAGTTCTTTATCGATGCTTATTTTTTTTTAACACCAGTTGTCTTTTCATACAAGAGTATTTTCAAATACAAATTACAAAATTACCACGGATGCATCTACAAGTAAAATAAATTAAATAAAATTACAGATTCTGCAGCTTCAGCCGCTGTTTGAGACGCTCTCAACCCCGCGTGAGCATCCAACGAATGAATTATTTCAACATCATAATTGGCACTAGAGCTTGCGTTTTGTTCTTCCTGAAACGATAACAAAATGTAAATTATATTGGACTTTAATTACTAAAAACTTACTTATTGCTGAATTAACATATATATTTGTAGGCACGCAATGTAAATTCTTTATTCAGCATATGTAAGTGAGTTGAAATAGTTGTCAAGGCGCGCCGGCTCCGGTCCCCCGCTGTCTTATATTACTTTGATATGTGTTTATATACATACATGGTTTTTAGTGAATGTCATTACTCTCATTAGAAGCGATGAGTTCCTTGCTCGTCCTTTTTATCAGCCAAAAGACGTCCTGAACGAGTGGTAGGGAAAAAAGTACTTTTAAGAAGTCTATTTGAATAAAGATTATTTTGACTTTGACTTTTATTCATTTTTACCTTAACTTTCTGAACTATAAAGATACTTAGCTACCACAGTGAACTATCGATATATATCAATAAATTAATAACTAAAACCACATAAATATATATAAGGTAGGTAATACATTATTTTCGTTATTAACTCATTTTATGTTATGGAAAAAGGTCACATCAACAGTATAAAAAATAATTACTAGGGTTAAGCCCTATAGGTGAAAATACAGGTTTCTGATATATATATTCGGAAAATATGAACCAATTCAACTTATAAATATTTAACAAAATAAATATTATGACACTAATTTGGAAAATATTACGCTTTGAAAACTTGAAAAAAGTAGAGAAATTATACTATAAAAATTTGTTAAAATTATTTAAAAATATTATCATTTGTTATTTAAAATGTTACACAACTTTCATATTACAGCTATAAACATAAACGCATTAAAAGATTGCCCAGACGACCATACGTTTTTCGCTTCCGTAGCAGTGTGTTTCGGCCGACTAACTGGATTTCCACAAACATAGCACCGTATATCCGAAACTATTAATCTCAGACATACTATTACTTATACATTATTTCTCAGATATTAATGAACTATTTATTTATAAAAGAAAATAAAAAAAAATTGTCAGCTAACCTATTATAAAAATTGGCATTGTAATCTACATTTACCAATTAGCAACTATAAAATATGACGATGCCATTCATATAATAAATGTTGTTTGTAATCATCAAATACAAATGAAAGAAATATTGAAACAATAAGAAAATGATGTTACCTTCATAGGAATACCAGTTACAGTAGTAGTAGCAAGCCTGTAGTGTGGCAACACCAGTCGCCCTAGTAGATTTGCTAATGCACTAGCTCTAGAAACAATTACTTCTACTCCCATAATTCCACCGCCCATCTGTAAGAGGTAAAAGTTATTGGGTAAAGTGATACACAATGTATAATAAGTACATTACTTATAGACACCTCTAATGCTTGTTGCACATACGTCCATTAAAAATCACATTAATTTATTAAATTTACATTCCCAATAAAAATTCTCTTATTTATATAAGCTAAAAGTCTTCCTTAAAACTAAGTGAACGTTTGTGCAACAGGACGTTAAATTTAGTGTAATAGTACAATCAACAGCACGTCAAGTTATACAAACCTAATTATTATACCTATATTCAATTTTGCATTCACAATGCTATACTTTTTTTTTGTACCGAGGGGAACTGACCTTAACATGCCATCGACCTGGGCTAGAGGCTGACTGAACCCGGGCTCTCCCACTGCAAGGGGCGGCGGTCCAGTGCAGTGGGCCTACCGTGCAAAACCCCCCGTACTACCCTCTCGCGTGGTCCGGCACCTGGTATCTTATAATTAAGTCCCAGGTGGTCACAATGCTATACTATAAAATCTTCTTAATGAAAAATTCTTAAAATAGCCACTGTGCATGGTACTCTGATGACCAAATTTAATATTTGGAACAAATTTTCATCTTTCACCAATCACACCCTAAGAATATTATACAAACCTGTCAAATTTTCTCCATTTGACATTAAACCCTAATGTTTTGAGCGTAGAATTTTAAATCAAGTGGAGAAATTTGATATATTCTGGTAACCTAATTAATATGCAGCCGTGTGTCCATAACTTTTGATATTGCCGGACGAAATGTAATTTAATTTTAATTTTTAAAAAGATTAATTTTTGTAGTTAGTACATAATCGGAATTAAAGATTTCATGATCTAATCGTAACTAACGATTCCACGAAATCAACGTTACTATTAAATTTCACGCAATAATCGTGACTGACAATTTTTTTTGAGGCAATCGGTTTTATATCTTAGCTATTTTAGTTCATGTGATAACTACAATAGGCATCATAACTGCTTGCAATTAGTACTTGTAGTTAACTACATACAGCCAGTTGCACAAACGTCCATTAAATTTTTCATTAGTTTAAAGCGACATTACCCATACAAATTTGACATTCATTAGAGTTTAAAGACGTCACTAAACCGTAATGGACGTTTGTGCAACTGACCGATAGTCACATTTAATCATTGATTACAATAGTAGTTAACTACGCCCCACACTGATTGCCAGCATAGTTAATGAAATCAGTTACTCATCTAATACATAGTGAATAGGTGCTTCAAAAAGGTGTGATAAGGCCCGCAAGATAGTGGTGACGACCGGGAGTAGTTTCGACTACTGACAGCTGCGACTATTATTAAACTGTAATGTCACTTCCCATCAGGTATATTATAGTCACAGTCATGCAACATTATAAAAAAAAAAAATTAAAGCTAAAATTCTTTACCTCAGTCATTGGTTGATTTGTTACTCTTGTATCAGCTTTCTCAGGGGCGACATTTATAATTACTAGATGGCAATAGTGAATGACAAGCGATCTGCAATATGAAATAGATTAAGTACAAAAAAAATGAGAGTAGAATATTTTTTTTAAATAATCTTATGAACATCGGTGGTAATAAATATAGTAACCCTAAGTCGATTTATTAATCATAATATTATGATTATGATATTTTCAGTGATCTGTTTGGACCACAACCATGGCATCCTAGTGGTTTAAGTGAGCGCAGACACTCATTGGGTGGGACACCAAAAATATATCTTCCCCGCTATTTTACTGTCTTTAATGAAGGCGTACGTTCAAACGGTAAAAACATGAAGAGGTCGAAAAAATCAGTATGGAACTCATTATCTTACTGAGTGGTTGTAGAAGATTCAGGGCTAGCAGGCGGTTGAGCCTGTGAAGCCTTTTTATTCTGTTGTATAATCGTGTTGAGAGCAATCCCTGCTAGACTTCTTATTGAATCATCATCTCTCGCACTGGTTATACATATGATACGACCTCTGAAAATAGAAATATAACAACATTTAAAGACTCCTATAATCATGAAATAAAGTTATCAGCAATTTTTCAAATATATTTTAAAATTAAAGTACACAGATATATAATAATAACAATTTATTCGATATTGCACGCTACAAAGGACATATTACAGAGAAGCTATAAAAATAGAGAGAATATAAAGGGTGATGTTATTGCTATGTAACAATCTCTTCCAGGCAACCCATGAGGAAAGAAAAAATAAACTATATAAAAAAAAAGTCATTAAATATAAACTAGTTATTTTAGTTACTAGTATTACTAGTATTATATTTGATCAATTTTGCATTCACAATGTTTAATGAATGTGGGACAAAGTGGATTTTTATGAATTTTTCATTAAGAATATATTACTAGTTTTCAAAGAAGCGCGTCTTCAATTGTGCAACAAAACAATTTAAAGTGCGAGCCTTTCCAATGTCTTCGGGCAACGAATTCGAAAGACGTACCGCATGCACGGAAAATGAGTAGATTAGTGATGAGAAATATTAAGGGTTAAGTTAAACTGTGAAGAGGAGGTTTGGAAAGACACGTTCTTTTTTATATAAGGAGGCGTCAAAGATAGGAAAAAGATAGAATAAAGTAGCGTTAAAGGTATGTAAGTCTTTTTAAAGACGAATAGGGACCCAGAAGTGTTTTGATTGAAGATGAATCTGATACAAAATTTCTGCAGACGGTCCAGCTTGTTAAGCTCTACCGACAAATCAGTGTAAAAAACATCAGCGAAGTCATCGAGTGTGTGGGTAAAAAGTTGTGCAGTCGGTTGTGAGCCATACGCTGCAAACATTCTCTTCTTGAGTGATTCTAGATGATGTTTCCAAGAAAGGCACTGGTCAAAACACATCGAGGTTTTTGACAGATTTTGAGTATGATATTACATTATATTACCTTCTGTTTGGTGCCGTCAAATGTAACAAAAGACAAATGTTCAAAAACGACCCTCGGAACGAAATGAGGACTGCCAATTATTACGTTTTGAGTCTTTAAAGAGTTGACAATAAGAGAGATTTTAGAGAGGTCGGAATTGGTATAAATTTGACGATCATCAGCACAAAGGTGAAGGAACTAGAAAGTGATATTTATTTATTATAAATTGGCCATGTTATGACATGTATGTCACATTTGGCATGTCAGAATTTCACAATACTATAAATTGTTACAGCTTACATAATATAATTATATATGCAATTTGTTTAATAAACATAGAGAAGAGAAATAAACACAGAGAAGAGAATAGAAGAGAAGAGAATAGGAGATAAGACGCCACCCTGAGGGACTCCGGCATTTATAGTGCACCACGAGTAGTTATCTTCACCACGGATACATTGTCGATAACCTAACAGCTTTGAAACCATATTATTGCTGCTAGAGATATGTTAAGAGAATGCATTATGCCAAGGAGGATGTCGAAGTCGACCGAGTTGAATGCACTACTGAAATCAAGTAACGTTAACAGCGTTAGCTGCAGATTTTCTACACCATGTCGTTTTTGATTGAGAAAAGCAGTATAGTGAATATGGCGTTACTGAGCATCCCTGATCACCGCATTACACCGATTTCTGATGCTGTTACACTTCATTTCATTTTGCTTCGAAGGATCAAGTCTGAACTTCGTTTTAGCCCTATTTTTATAGGACGAACTGGAGCATGAATGAAATTAACGCGTTATTAAAGTGCTCAACCTGTTCGTCAACAGAATTTGTGGCGAAGATAGCTGACCAATTCGTATTTGAAGCGTCTTCAAGTAAGTGGCCCATATCAATTGCCGCAAAACACAGACAGATACACCAAGTCATGATAAGAGAATTTATCTGCAGAATATTTGTCATGCTTTACAACTTTGGTATGGGACAGTAATACCAAAGAGATGCCCGGCGCTGTCTTGGGGCGGCGGTTATGGAGATTTACTAAGAATAGAAAAAGGATTATGCAAATGAAGATAAATTGCCACCCCACTATGAGACGAACTTACACGATCATTGCGGATAAGTAGAAAGTCAGAAAGAGCATGGATATTTTTACTATCAAAAGATGCAAGCAGATCCGGGAAGTATACAGGGATACTTTGAGCATCAATACTCAATGCATTTATTTTTGGGCACATTGTAGAATGTATCATTCAAAACCTCATTGATAGGACAGTAAACTCTGAAAACTTGAGTCGTTAATAAAGGACACAATTGGAAAAGATCATAACTATTATTCAAAGATATATCCATAACACTTATAAGAAAATATCGAATTTAATATAGTAAAAAAAATACAATAAAATGTAATTTTACATAGGATAAATTCACTTGCTAATACACATACCCACAGGTTGGTTGAAAGAGATTAAAAAATAATCATAAGAATAGAATTAAACATTGATCACTGACATGATAAATGCAAGTAGAAACATCATCCAGTAATATTGCTGTGACTACATATGTATTGAAAATCACAGTGAATACTACCGAGTATTCACTGTGTTTTCAAACATTAAAACAGTGATGGACATTATCATGAACCTACTGTCAAAAAATGCAAACAATTTTTGACTGTCAAAATACTGTCAAAAATTGTTTGCACTTATTTAAGTTACCTACGTGTAATTATTAAATAAACTTACATAAACAAAACTAATTTCACATAGAGAAACATTAAGGGAAATATGTTTATATAAAAATTATTTTTAATGCTAATTATACCAATTTTTAATTTCACCATTAATGTCCGCCATATTGTGATGTCAATCCTTGGTATATTTATTTTGGCAGCAATACAGGATTGTTTAATATTGATCAAAACATTCTTAATTTGCAACTATTAGACCTTGGGGAGTTCACAATTCAATATCTTCTAAATTGTAGTAATACTTATGGCAGTAAAACTGACAACTGACAATCAAACACTTTGGATTTTTGTTTCAAATTACATGACATACAGGTCTAAATTAGTGCTTTTATTATGCAAGAATATATGAATTTTGAATCACTTGTTCCATTCACAAAAACACAGTTAATAACTACTATAATATAAAAATGTAATTTAAAAACTTAATACAAATAATTAATTATTATTAAATAGTTGACCATCCTCCTTAACCATTCCTAAGGAAGACCTGAGTCCCTGCAGATGGGATATCAAAGGATGATGATGATGATTTTGTTGATAAATTCTAGTAATTCTACAGAAAAAAATATTAAATTTCAATATTTACCGGTTTTGTAAAAGTCTGTCACCAGCAGGTCTTGCTGATTGTGATGTCGAAGGTTCTGCTAGAGCCTCGATGGCTGCTACTAATCCCACAACATCTCCACCAGCCCCACGTCTAACTGGGCCAACCAGGCAGAGACCATTTAATATCTAAGAACATATACTGTCATTAATATTTATCTCAAAAACTGTTATATTGCTAAATGATGTTGAGGGTCTTATGCAAATCTTATAGAAGATTTGTCAACGATTAGTATGTGCAAGTAAAAAGTATACATTAGTAAGTACAGAGCTTGTACTGAGTATAGAAGCTAAAATGTCTAAGTGTCATGAATGAATCAACTTTTAAACAGTTTTATCATATTTATATTTAGTTTTAGTAATTTCAGATCCTTTACAGGTTCTGCATTCACATAAGAAGATGTATGTGTAATTTTTTTAAAAATGAATTTTGAGACAAACAGTCATGCTATATTAGATAACATAATTTATTGAACAGGATACCAGCCTACTCTCTAAATGTATGTCTCTTCTATCAGATTATCTATTCTATAAATAGCAGACAGATTTAATACATACATGCGTCAAGTTTTGTTGAGTTGTTGCCCAAGTGTTTAATATATGTGCAGCTGAATCGCTTACAACAAATCGAACCTAAAAAATGAAAATGATTACCCATATAACTGTAAATATTATAAGCCAAAATAATAAAATAAAATTCTTTGTCAAAAAGTAAAAACTTTGTAGAATAGTTTACATTCTTATGACCACAATTTTATAGTGAATGAACTTAAAGCCAGTTCAGTTTTTTATATAATACTTACTAATTTCCCTTCAGGGAATAAATCCCATACAATCCTACAGTATTCCACCGCTGCTTCCACACTACAAGTCCATAGCGATTTAAATACCGGTGGTAGAGGAACATATCCAGGCCCCCTACTTTTAGAAGTATCAAAATCTATAGGATAATCTGACGAAATTCCAAAGTAAGGCGTATGATCAAGCACAAATATGGTTTTGTGATTTGTGGAAAACATATTCAACTTTCAACTTATTTTATGGTAATTTAAAATTTTGATAAAAGCAAACATATAACTTTTTGCCACTGTTATAACCTTTAATTTGTATTTAAGTTACAAACACCGAAGTCAATTTTGCGCTTAGTTACTTCCATATCAGATGATTTATTTTACAAACTTATATTGAACTTTTTATTTGGTTATTTTCTAAAATACAAAATTAAAAACATTGTAATTAAAACAAAATCCTCTGTTTTTATCTTTTTGTTTGACAATTTCGTCGGAAAGTTGGAAAATTAAAAAAAAACTCTCTATGGCAAATTATCTGTCAAATTGCGGTTAGTGCTGCAATTCTGCATGATGGTAAAATCGATTAGTAGAAAAATTCAATAAACATCGATATATCGATCAATCAATTTTTATAGCTGCACATATATTAAAAATTGTCTACAAAGTAAAGGATATTATACCGTTAAATAATCACCCTCACACCATGGAACCTGGTGCATGGCAAAAGTACCCAGGTATATACCATTCCAGGGGGACCGACTGAACGGTTCTCCGTCTCTGCGGCCAGGAAGTTTCCCGGGTAATTTCGAGGAACCCTCCCCAGACAACTGGGGTTTGCAACGAACGAGGGGGTGATTATCCCCCAGAGATGAGATGCGCTATTGGGCTATCTGATCTCCCTGTATCGCCTGACGAACACTCTGATAAGTCGCCTCGGCCTCCCCCTCGAGCTGAACTCCTCGGGCAACCCCGGAGCCAACATACCCTGGCGCCCTTAGCGACAGACTAGAGTATTGACCGCTGGTCGACGTAGCCCTTCCCCCCAACGACTCATAAAAACGCCGAAGTGGTGAGTGTCCCGCCGAGCCGCAGCCGACTCCATCCCTTCATCCCAGCCACGATGAACACAAGTGCTCACCGTGGTCTGCCACCCCCCTGCCGCCGCCGGCCTCTCTTCCAGTCCGTCGAATCTTGCTGAAACCAAGGTTCCGACGGACTCAAGGACAGACCTAGTCCAGATCTTCGGCACACTTTCTAGGGTGGAAACAACCCCAATCCTGTCTCGGAGAGCAACCATCTCCACACGAAGCTTGTCTATCTCCTCGTGCAGTCCTCCTATCTCTTTGCTCATCCTCTTGACTTTCTTCCCATTCTTTACTTTCTCCTCCCTTAACCTTTTAACCTTAAGAGGGAGGCTCTTCAGCTTCCAGTTCTCTTCTCTGATGGCCGTATAGCGCTTGTAGAGGTCGGTCAATCCTTCGGTGCTGGTCATTTTGGGCAGCAAGTTTACCTCCTCCTTTACTTCGCTGATCGTGTTTTCCAGATCCATCTTAACTTTATCCGGCACACCCTTCATTGCCATTACATCCGACAGCACATATTGCATCCCGTCCGCTATGTCTCTCACCGAGATTTTCTTGTCTCGCTCAAGCCTCTCGATGTAGAGCCTAGCCTTCTCCTTCATTTCCTCTATCTCCATCTTTTTAGAGTCGAACTCTACCATCACTTCCTCATATCAGTTCCATGCTTGAGCCAATGTCTGATTAGCCAGCATCGGAGCTGGTGTCTACTACCACCACTTCTCCTTTCTCCTTCCTAAAATATGACTAATGTACCGACTGTATGAGCTCTCGACTCTCAACTACAACTCGTGAACATCATCTAATAAGTATTAGTTAAGAGATTGCTCAAACTCGGTTCGATAATACTCTGGGCGTTGGTCATATATACAGGATAGCTGTCTTATTGAATATATAAAATAAAAGTCATGTGAATCGATCGCGTTTCGTAATGAAAGTAGACATAAACAAACAAATAAAAAAGCAACAGTATACTTTCACATTTTAATAGTTATTTATTAGTAGTCTTAGATAGGTAATTTTCGTAGAGAGTAGACCGCGGGCAATCATGTTTTAACAAGTTTTTATTAAATAACCCGAATTGTGCATTCCTGTATCAATTGGCTGGTTCATATATAGTACTTGTTCTTACTTGTTGAGTATGATTAAGCGGCGAATGAGATAAACGAGTTTATGCATGTTTGTTTTATTCTTGTCTGTAGTGCTATATAAACAACGTAATATTTATTTAATTTTATCAAAGGCTCTCTTTTGGTCCTCACGTCAATAGAGTCACACAAACAGCTCGACTTTTTCTATTTCAACTCAGGTCTATGCTGGGCCGACATAGTAAAATGTCCCTTCGAAATAAGCGAACGCTTTACAAGGTCTGCATATGTCCGGTGATGACGTACGCCTCTACCGTATTCGCCCATGCCAACCCTAAAGTCCTCTACAAATTGCAAATAGTATAAAATCTCTCTTGCCGCCGAGCGGCAAACGCCTCTTACTACATCCGCAATGCGGATCTACATAGGGATCTCGATCTTCCCACTATTCAACGGTGGTGTATCAAAGCCTCTGAACGCTTCTTCAAAGCGGCAGAGGATCACCCCAATCCCCTCATCCACTCTGCCGCGGAATATGTGCCGCCCTCCTCCTCCTCCCCTCTCGCTTAGGTCAACCCCCATCGAAGGTTCGTTGGCCCTTCAGGGCACGCAACCAAGGCGGCGTTTAGTCAGTAGGAGTATGCATAACCACACAGCCGGCTGTGTGGTATCCAATGAAGGATTCACCGCCTCCTTCCCCCGTTGGGAGGGTGGTTCCAAACCCCTAAGGTTGGGCGCGAAAAATAAAAATATATATATATTTAATTTTCATTTGCGGTTTCGCGCGTAATAGATAAGCAGTACCTACTTAACTTCAGCACTAATAACGTATTTTACAAAACAAAACAATGTCGGTAGTAAAAAAAGAAGAGACGGCAATACTGTGCGGAATATATTAAATTCGGACTCATTGAAAACCCACAAACCCATCGTCGCCTTTGTGCATTCCATGTCTAAAAACATTTTCGAATGAAGCAATGAAACCTTCAAGACTGCAAGATCATTCGAATAAAGTGCTTTCAAATAAGAAAGACAAGAGTGTAGCATATTTTCAAGATCTAGAGAAAAAACATAATATTCAGACAAGTGTAGCCAAACTATTTTCGATGGCTGCTAAGCAAGATGACGACGGACTCGAGTATATAATATCTCCTTGTTAATTGCTCAAAAAAGCAAACCACATAACATCAGAGAAGAGTTAATTTTGCCAGCCGGCCGCAGAGATTGTCTCACGACGACAACGACAACGACAACGCCCGTCTTAAGTACAACAGGCGCCCGGGTGCAAGTAGTGCTCTGGCACCCCCTATCATCGGTGCGGCGCCCCCAATGCACGGCGCTCGTGTGCATTGCATACCCTGCACTAAAGGTTAAGCCGCCCTTGAGAACAACGACGACAACGATACAAATGGCCTAAAAAATGACGCTATGTTGCAAAACGGAAGAACCACTCGAGCGAAGCCGTTGGCGCTAGCTAATAATACTTGTACACATTGCGATTCCTAAGCGTGACAATGCAATATTTAAAAAAACAATCGGTGTAATGTGATAGATAAGAAATGAAATCCTTGCGGTATTCCCATGTTCAACTACCCGTCCATTTGCTTTAGACAGTCTCAACAGCTCCCTGTCAACGTATAATAACTACTACTAGGACTCAATTCTGCGAATGTTTAGATAAGTTACATAATTATAGTATGTCAATGGCTTTTCAACAAGGGAAAGAAAATCAAGAATTATGAATTATCGTCGTAAGAGATTAGCTAAAAACTATAATGATTCATAACGCTTTGATAACACAGTTGTATCAGCTTAGATTAAAATTCCTGGGGCCTAATTGTCTAACTTTAAAATCTTTCGATTTGAAAGATGTTATATAACCATTGCTTGTTTCTGAAGACAGTTGAAAAAAAAGTATTTGTATTATGCAGCAATGGTTGTGCAACACCTTTCAAACTGAAAGCGATTGCAATAGATTTAAAATTAGACAATCAGGGGGTTGTTTAGTCATGTGTTGAAAGTGGTAGAGAGTGGTTGCCAGCTTTTTGTTATTTATTTATATAATTATATTATTAGCGAGTAATTAAAATATATTTCAAAATGGAACAAACTATTAGACATTATGCAGAAGAAACTTTCGGTGATGAAAATAATGATAGAAAAAGGCATATATTTACCCTCACCGTAGAAGTACCAATGTTTTTGTCGTTTTTGGTGATGGCAATAGCAGGTGTTTTATTAAATATTATTTAACAGGTTGTCTTATTATATTGTTGTTATTACATATATTCTTTTGTAATCAAATATTTATCAAAGTTAAATAAAAAATACAACATTTTTTTTGCGCACGTATTGCGGTGACCTCTAATTAATGAAACATTTTTCTTGAACCAGCGGTACCTACAAGCAACCTGCTAATGTACCGGTTATGCATACATCATCTGGGCCGTTCAGTGGATGAATGCCGATCTTTTCTCGCGCCAGAGAAAACAAACCACACGCAAGTGATCGAAAACGAAGTCCAACGGTATACGACTTTCGTGTGGACTGTTAAATCTGTGTTGGAATCAGTTTTGCCAGCGTTTGTGTCTGTGTTTGTTAGTGTGTGTTCGGATAAGCATGGGCGAAAACCGATGCTTATGTGGCCTCTTCTGGGTAAGCAATAAACTTTGATTTAACTCTAACTCTTGCATGGCATATACAATGGACCGAAGAAAGCGTCTAAGTGGGAAAAATTAGAGCCCCCTAACCTAACATGTTAAATGCTTTCCCGTATATTATATTACCAATCTAACTTCTGTAGCTAAGTGGTTCTCACACCGTTTTCAATGTCACCTTCCTTTTGGGTCCCAATTTCGATTCCCGGTCGAATCACTGTAGAAAAAGAAATTTTATCGAGTCTAGAGATTTGGCACCTTTTTTTCTGAAAGAATATTTTGCCAATAGGATTAAGCATTCTTCTTCTTCTTTAATTAATGGCTTATCTGCGCGTATCGCACAATTCTGCCCATTTCACGTGAAAAGCTATTACACGGTAGGGATATATATGAGAAAAAAAAAT